TGACTAAATACCGCTAACACAGGTTATTATGAAAAATCTGGGAAATATTTTGGGTTTAACCAATTTTAAATCTGAAAAATGCAAATGGTAGGCAAAAGACAGTTCTTTGGTGTTCTGGCTTTAGTTTTATGAATTATGAATATGTATTTTTATGCGAACTGTCGAAATATCCCTTCATTTAAAGTCGTTCTCCCGGGCGTCTTGGGGCTCAAAATACAAACAAAAAAAAAATCTCAAATAAAAAATAATGATCTGAACCAACTGAGAACCATATTTCTAGAACTAGCTACCCAAGACCTTTAATTGGGCAGAGTTTGAAAATTTTCGATTTTTCTATCTTGCATAGGTATAGGCGATCCTTAGGGAGAGCCCCTCTTAATGCCTTTCTCTCTTCATAGTTTTGGAGCCGTGCTGTGGGAATGTTTAGCTACGAAGCAGCCTTGGTCATGGATGACTGGAAAAACCATATTTCAAGCCTTATGCGAGGAATACCTACGACTTCCAATACTTCAAGACTGGCCAAGTAGCCTTAAACAAGTCCTCACCGAATGCACAGGACCAGAACAAGAGCGCTCAGACTTTGATACAATCACTCAACACCTCGATATTATTCGAACGAGTGATCTCCAGGCACCAGGAAAAATCTTAGAGAGCGCGTTCGAAATGTGGTTGACTGGCGAGCACAAGATAACACCACGTAGAAAACCAAGTGGACCAGGACTATTATTTTCTAAGATGTCAAGGAATATTTCAGCTTTGAGGATGGATAGTGAGAGTGAAGAGGAAGAAGATGATGCAAAGATTCGACTTCTGAAAACAAGAAGGAGATCTTCTTTGCTTGGTTTGAGTCAACGTAGGAACACTATACATCAAGGCAAGTGAGCGTAGAACTGGTTTAAATTAAGTTTTTGGCAAAAATACGCTCGAAGCTAAGATTCAAATTGAAGGAAGCCTGCCTGTAAAATAAGTGGTTACTCAGTGGACAGATTAACCTTGAGCGGAAAGTTTTTCCATCTCGACAGATCACGTCACTCTATTGACGAAAAGCTTCATTTTTTTGTTGTTGTTCCTATATTCATGTGTCTACCTATGCAAAGCTTTTAATTCCTTTGCATTGTTGTCATTGTCTACTGTATTGTATCATCAGACATGTCCTAGGTTCCTGCATCATTACATGGAACCATAAAACAACCTATGATGGGATGATCAAAGACAAGGCACGGTTAACTCCGGCACATATCGAACCCTGTAACAACCTCTGGGCTGATCTAAATCAGGGCATGGCTAACTCACAGATTGAACCCTGAAACAACCTCAGGGCAGATCTAAGTCAGGGCATGGCTAGATCACAGATCAAACCCTGAAACAAACCTCTGGACTGATCTAAGTCAAGCTAAGTCAGTGCATGGCTAGACCACAGATCAAACCCTGGAATAACCTCTGGGCTGATCTAAGTCAGGGCAAGGCTAACTCACAGACAGAACCCTGAAACAACCTCTGGGCCGATCTAAGTCAGGGCATGGCTAGCTCACAGATTGAACCCTGGAATAACCTCTGAGCTGATCTCCATAAAGTCAGGGCATGCATGGCTAACTTCTAGGCAGACAGATTGAATTCAGTTGGAACCCAATTTTATGACCATGTTGTTTTGTAGGAGTAATGAATGTTATGAACGCGCTTCACTTATCAGCCGACAAGAAAGATCTAAGGAAACAAAAAGACACGGAAAAATATGGACTTGAAGTAGCAGAAGAGTTAGCGACGGTTCGTAATCTATGTAAGACAGCCAAGCATCATGTCAGGCGCCGCTGGGCAAAAGAAATGTATATAAGAAGAAAACTGGAAGGAGATATCAAGAGAATAAAAATGAGCGAAAGATTTAAGGAGGGTCGTGGTGACTTGAAGGTAAGCTTGTATTAGTGGCATGCGTTTGATGCATTGTTCTCTTCCTTGCTACGACGATTTTTATCCGTGTCCTCTGGTTTTCCTCTCTCAATAAAAATCCACATGTGAGTTAAGTTTTTTCATTGTCAGAAATAATTTAATCATTACCAGGAGTGGCTTCTCTGACTGCAGTGAGAAACTCAAAAGACGTAAGCTTGTTGGCTTGATATCGTTGTTTACCTCTCCCTTGCCACGAGGGCTTTTCTCCAGGTTCTCTGGTTTTCCTCCCTCCATAAAAATCAACATGTGAGTTGAATTTGTTTGATGTGTTGTTCTATCCCTTGCTACGAGGGTTTTTCTCCAGGTTCTCTGGTTTTTCTCCCTCCATAAAAATCAACATGTGAGTTGAGTTTGTTTGATGTGTTGTTCTCTCCCTTGCCACGAGGGCTTTTCTCCAGGTTCTCTGGTTTTCCTCCATCCAAAATCACATCTAAACTGAGAGATTGTTTGATGTGTTTTTCATACTTAATTCTCTTTTTACAGGCAAGACAGGCCCAGAAGGGCCAACGAGTTCGACGCCTAAGTCATGGTGCAGAAAGCATCACCAGGCTACGAACTATAGCAGGCAAATACGAAAAATGGGATTGGGCACGATATACAACCGGCCACAAGTACCGCCCTCCTGAGGATAAATATGAACTGTCTGAGGGAGATAAGGGTGAGGGTTTTGAAGAAGAGACGGTCATTGTAAGGGATGTCATTAAAGAGGCTTATTCGAGTTGTCTTCAACTAGTGACTCTGGAAGATGAGATTTTAACAGATTCAAATGAAGAAGATGTGGATAAACAGGAATCATCGATAGACGAGAACCTTGACGATGGAATTTGTGTTGAAATAGTTGAAGATAATGAAGAAGGGGAGGCGTTACGGCTGAGTGACAAACATGAAAATCAATTGCAAGTTGATCATGAAGGACGAGATGAACAGCATCAAGAACATGATGATGAGAATGATGATGTGAACCATGTTAGTGCAAAGGAAGAAAGAAAAGAAGAAGACGAAGATGAAGACAAAGAAGAAGAAGAAGAAGAAGAAGAAGAAGAAGAAGGAGAAGGAGAAGAAGAAAAAGAAGGAGAAGAAGAAGAAGGAGAAGAAGAAGAAGGAGAAGAAGAAGAAGGAAAAGGAGAAAAAAGAGAAGGAGAAGGAGAAGAAGAGGCATATGATGAGAGAGAAGAAGGAAAAGAAGAAGTAGACGAATCAGGAAGAGTACGAGTTGATGGAGAAGAGGAAGAGGAAAACAAAGGGGAAGACCAAGAAGCAGTCAAAGAAGGCGGAGAAGATAAGGAAGAAGACAATGGTGGTGGTGACTTACAGAATGACAAAGACGACATAAAGAAAAGCTGTGAACACGAACACGTTGATGATCCAGCTGACAAGAGCTTTGACAGCGACAGCAAACACAACATCGTCGAAAATATATCACAAAATCCGGATACCAACAGCAATGAAGCCAGTAATGAAGGCGTGAACACTAAAACTAACAGCAGCTCATACAACCTCAGAACAGAAGGGATAAGTAAGGAGACGAGCAATTCGAGTGAAGACGGAGAAGCAAGCTGTGGGAAAGTATCTGTTAGTACTGATGCTGTAAATGTCCTGGATGAATTCTCCCAGTGGTTAGATGATTATTGTGAAGGCGTCTCCTCTACGTCAGATTTTGAGGATGACGTCGAGGAATCTAGGGATTTAAACGAAGTTCTTGGATGTAATGATTCTTCAAGAGACGCCACTCCTAAGAACGAACAGCAGCAGAGTGTAAGCCAGGAAAAACTACTTGATGAGGAACTAGAGTATCCAAGTGAAAACGGCTCCAATAGGAAAGATGATCAGCCGATCAAAGCGAACTTGCCGTTGCCAAGCGACGATGAGGAATTAGAAAAAGTTCAACCCAGCACTAGTGGGATCAACTTTCATAGAAACAAGTGATATCAAAATAAGTTTATTATTATCATTTTTTAAATATAATTAATAGAAATAAAATCCTGTACCGATTTTAATTCTGATGTCACCTCAGAGCGTCACGCACAATATCGATATGAATATATTTAAATACATTTTCTTTCTATACGGGATTTTTAAATCTTTAGGTTGATCATGATAAATAAACGAATAAGAAGATAAAGCATTGCGCAGCAGTAATTCTAGCTTTTCAGCCTCTCAAATCTCCTGAAAAAGCGGGAAAAAAATGCTGAAATATGGACTGAACACGTGAGTGATGCTTTTATAGCGCTCTTCAATTACACGCGAGAGATCGTGAAAAAATTTTCGGGGCATAACAGAGCTTTGGTGGACGCCAATCAAATTGTTTTCCAGCATTGTCTGAAAACACAAAGTTTTTAAGGGCACGTGCCTATGGAATGTCATGGAAACGCATGCATTCATTGACGTCCACCAAAACCTACTTCATCACGATGGCAAATCATACGATTTCACGCGTGTGATTGAGAAGCGCTGTAGTGCGCCGCCTCTAATGCTGTGGTCGTTATTTCGATTGCAGACGCCCCATCGATCATATGTCATCATATTTATGATGTGAAAAGATCTCGATAGTTAATAAGACGTTTTTTATTTAAACAGACATGTTTCGAGGTGGTGTTAATTCAGTTCAATAGAAAGTTCTGAGTTTAAAAAGGGATAAGACTCCTAAACTAACAAGACTTATCTAGCGTACGGCCCTCTAAAGTTGTTGGTGCTTCTGAGCTGCAAAAAAAAATTCTCAAAGTTTTCTGTTTTTCTTTCCTCTACAAAAGACAACTTCTAATTTCTGTCTCCGGATGATCCGATTGGGTTCCCTGTGTGTACTGGGTTTCCTGTGGTGATAACTGAGAAGTCAGTACCCAGTCTTTACCGCGTTGTTTTGCCGCTCATTGGAACAATAAAAACATGGACGAAAAGAAGCCAAAATCCAACCAAATATTCAACGAAGTTCGCTACTTTATCCCTTCAGAATGTACCGAGGAGGTATGTAAAAGTGATTCATTTAATATTTACAGCGATCGCACTCGTACATTCTCCATACAACAGCGATCTGTTCTTTTGATCTGCTCAAGTTTAGACTTGCCCAACTCGTCTGACAATATAATTTAATTCTTGGCCCGATTGCTATTGTTTTAGCTGTAAATTGACCTCCAACGTCTCTGCATTCACATATTTCGTAACTGCATTAAGTTCTTTTACCACTTTTTCGTCATTATAGATGATATTATAAGCTTAAATTATTTCCATTTTGTCTCGCCAAATTGCATACTGTATTTTGATCCAATTCCGGTTAAAATTAACCAGTGATCTAAGGAATGACTACGCTGAACTACGGTAAGCTTGTATAATTCTTATATTTGAACTTTCATATTCCTAATTCAGGGACAAGAGTAATTTTTAACTTCTGAAAGTGAAATTTCGTTGTTTCATATTGTATTTTTTGGGGGGAATTTTTTTCCATTTTATATAATTTGTATTTGTATTTTGCTCATCTGAATCTCCACTGTTCTTCTGTTTATGGGTTAAGGGTTTATGTATGTATTTCAGTTGCTTGTTGTCTAATACTATTACAATCAAGAATGGAGTAGTTTTCTGCAACCAACTATGTCTGGATTTTTTGCTTATCACTCAAAAATACTAGCTCTCTGAAAGTGTTGAGCATGTTGTCTGCGTACAGAAGTGCGACATCCTCGTTTGCATCCAAAACAACATTTATTCTAATTTGTATTTCATAAAATAGATAAAATAACTTACCTGCTGTGCTGTGCTGTGTGCAGTTATAAAGAATTTGGGGATAGACAAAACAAAAGTGTTGAGCACTACTGCACATATTTGCTATGCTTCTAAGACAGCCAGCTTACATATAGAAAATTTTTAAGAAATAGACTCGTAAATTTCTACCTGGGATCAAAACAATGAAAACAAATATGAAAACAAATCCTATCAATTGAAGGGAATTCTTTTTTCTTTAAAAAGAATTTCGTTTTCTTTACAAGGGTAGCACTTAGAGGTAACAAACCTGTGGCCCTCGATCTAATTGGAACTTAGAAGTTGATTTCTGTGGAGGGAGGAAAACGGGAGAACGCAGAGAAAAACCCTTGAAGCACAGGAGAGAACCAACAAACAACTCTACTCACATACGACACTGAAACCCGGCGGGATTCGAACTCAGGTCGCATTGATGAGAGGCGAGCGCTCTCACTGCTATGCCAACCGTGCATCCCCAGATTGGGAATTAGTGAAAGAGAAATACAGTATACATATATTTATATGGCTGCTCTGATTTCAGCGCCCACCCCCTAATTTGAAAAGCAAAATTTTCAGGACCTATTTCATGTACAGTATAACAAAGAAGACTGGAAACTATTCAAATTTCCTTAAGGAACCCCAGCAATGTTGAGTTTGAATCTTTATTTTTTCAGGTGAAGGAAATTTTGAAGCAAGAAGGGGCGAAGAAGGAGTTCTATATCAGTGATTTGGTAACCCATGTGATATCAGACATGGAGGATGAAGCTTTGATAAATGAAGCAAAGGAATATGATCTACCGATAGTGACGGTTAGTAAGGCATTAAATAACTTAGTCACTATTGATAATAGAATAATAATATTTCAGATGGTAGCACTTAATAGCTAGTGTCTAACCTGTGGCCATCATTTCATAATCGAATTGGAATTTTGAAGTTGATTTTTGTGGAGGAAGGAAAACCCTCCAAGCAACTCTATATTTACATGTGATATTGAGTCCAGAAATCAAACTGGGCTGCAATTTTTGTATTTGCGGCTACGCCACCTTTGGTTTTCAAATAAATTACGATAGTTGCTTGCCGTCAATGTGAATAGAGTGGCTTTTGGAATTAGTTTTACATCGAATACTGAGATTGATTTACATGTACAAAACATCAAGGTGTAGTATCCACACCCCCTCCCCCACCCCCCACAGCGGAATTTAGAATTTTTTGCTGAGGGATAGGGGGGTAAGACAAAGAACAGCAATGACAGAGTTTGCATGGAAGAAAATTGCAATTTCTGGGTGTAGGGAGGTCTTTAAAAAAATTCCTGTGGGGGGAGGGGGGATATGGATAATTTCTTGAACTACACCATTGACTTTTTAATTCATTTTATATATTTTTAGCAAAGTTGGGTGACGACAAGTATGAAAGCTGGAATGAAACTACCGTATCCTTTTTATAGAGAGAAAAACTCCTCTTAGGATTCATTTTTTATATTTTTAAAATATTTTTTGATTATAACTTAGCTCGTTAGATTTTCTTGTATATATTATCTTCTATTTATTATTTGAAATATTTATATGTATTTGTAAATATTGATTTTTATTTTAATCAGTATTAGTAAAGACACATTATTATTTATTATTATTACTGTAATTAATAATCATACTTGTACATGTATATATTTGTTGTATTTGTTGATACTAAATACTGTAGTATCAATGTATACTACAATATATTTATTTTTTGTTTACATTATTTTCCTTGACAAGCAACCATAGAACAAAACCATTCTCTCTTCAAAAAGATGGTTTATTCTCTGGGATTATAATATGCCCCTCCCAGGTATTTACATCCATATGTACTGGGCCTAAATTGATAGCTGCCAGTCATAATTTTTGTTTGTAGTGAGGGCCGTACTGTAAGTTAGATAACTCACTGGGTTAATACGTCACCCTCTTTAAATAAAGTTGATTGATTGATTGACTGATCTGACAAAGGAACCTATCCATTCAAATCTCGGCCATGATTTTGACCAGTATTGAGGTTTGACCAAGATAAAACTAATTTGACTGGTGATCATAGCCAATGACTGAGCATATGTTATTTTAAGCCCTGTACGTATATTATAGTTATAGCCTACCGCAAGTGTTTTTGATCATGAAAAACCAATGGTATAATAATTATGTGACAATTCCAGTCATTGTCTCAGCATTACTTATTGAGTAGAGTTTGTTGGGTCTCTCCCTTGTTTTGAAGGGTTTTCCCCAGATTCTCTGATTTAAAATACTTTCCTCTGCAAAACCTAACAAAGTTAAATACAATTCATCCTGCAACTTAGTTGTGTCATGACTTTGATCATCTCAAACTCTGCTTACTTTTATTATGTCATTGTCTCAGGAATCAAACCTGAGACCCCATAGGTGAGAGCCAAGTGCACTGATTACCCTTGGTTTTTTAATCACAGCAATTATTCTTTTTTAAGGTGGCTGACTACTTTTGAAAATTTGATTTGAGCCCACAATGTGTGAGTGCTTAAAAACCATTGAATAATCTTCAAGATTTATTGAAGACCCATACATGTTTTGAACTTCAAGAGGGCAAAACCCTCAAATTTTTCACAGGACTCATGTTTCTTCCTTAGTTTCGATTTTATGATTTTTTTTGTACAGAGTTTGATCGCTATTTTTCTTCCAAAATATTGTACAAGCGCATGTCATTCTGGAGTGATTATCTCAAAAGCAAGCTCGGGACACCCCATTTTTCTTTGCATTTTTTAAATCAGCAGTAAATTTCAGGTTAAAGAAGTTTCAATTTTCAATTTTCTGTTTATTATTTACCAAAGTAGTCAGCCACCTTGAATAACCAATCAATAATTAATTTAATTGTAGTAAGTCAGTTATGCCCGTCGTGAGGTTCTTTCATCAAGGTAAACCCCAAAATTGAGAGCCCTGGTATGATATTCCTTACATTCTTTCCTCTAGATCCCTTGTGATGATCTTGACAAGCTGTGGGCCATGGTGACGTACCATGGTGGTACATGCCAATTGAACCTGACACCATCTTGTACTCACCTTGTTGTACCTCAAGCAAATGGGGTAAGCATTTTATAGTCAGTCAATTGGTCAGTTGGCCAGTTAATCTGTCTGTCATTCTATCTGTTGTTCAGGGACTGGTCGTATGAAGCCTGAATAGCGCTATCCGGTGGATAAATTATCCAGTGGATAAATCAATACTGTTTTCCAATAAATTTATCCACTGGATAAGCTTTATTCGTTGGATAGCGCTATCCAGGCTTCGTACAACCAGGCCCAGGCAATTTCAGTGTCTGTATGTGAGTAAGGTTCCTTGTTCCTCTCTTATTTGTTTTAAGGGTTCCTCTCGTAGTTCTCTGGCTTTTGTTGCTCTTGCAAAATCAAAAGCTAAATTTTAAGGCATTTGAATTCAGAAGAAAAAGATCCCTCTTCTAAATCCCACTCAAACTACTGCTTCTTTCATCATTACGTCAAACACTCAACATTTAACAATTATTTGTTGAAGGCAAAGTAAATATCAGGGATATTTACCAATACGTGACATTTGAATTCAGAAGAAAAAGATCCCTCTTCTAAATCCCACTCAAACTACTGCTTCTTTCATCATTACGTCAAACACTCAACATTTAACAATTATTTGTTGAAGGCAAAGTAAATATCAGGGATATTTACCAATACGTGAGTCTTCGAGCTGCGAGGTAAATAATCCCCAATGTTCACTGAGTCTGAGATGAATAATATTTTTAGCACAATTGAATTTAATTAATAATGGAGAGAGATTGTTTTCTTCAAATTTTATTTATCTATGCAAGTGGTATACATCAACAAACGAGCGTGCACATGCACGTCATATTTACCTACAATTAAAATATATAACCTACAGGTGAATATTCGCCTGCAGGTGAATATAACAGCATGAGATGTAAATTGTAACCAATGAGCGTACCAGATTTATTATATTCACTTGCGTAAAAATATTTTTGGACTGTTTGTAGGAGAAGTACAATGCTGCCATCAAATCAGAAGGGAAAATAAAAACAATCACACCAAGTTGGATTGTAGACTGCATTAAAAGTGACAAACTACTTGACGAACTAAATTACTTACCATCTGAGTCTACCGATACAACAAACTCGTCACATGATGAGAAAGATCTTGAAAGTACAGATGATTCCATGACAACGCCCTCAAATCCAAGCTTGTGTACTGCCCCCTTAAGAACCACAGACTCAAGAAGTAGTGCCTTTACAAGTCCAGCTACTACAGAATCTAGAAAACAAAATAACAAAAATGAGAAGCATGAAGTGTTAGAAGTAAGAGAAACACCAGTGAAAACGGAAGGAGAAGCAAGTCATAATTACCAATTTGTTGAAAATAATGTCTCTCGGGATGAAGCTTGTGCTGTAAAACTAGAGGCACAAGCTATAGAAGAACATGCCGAGACAACAGAGGATAGAAATGAAATGAGTATGCTACAACCAGAAAACTCTGAACAATGTAAGTAGAAGGATTGGTAGAATATTGACAGTAGAGAGCTTAAGATTCTCGTTTACGGCAAACATGAAACGTCAGTTGAACATTAAAAAATTGTTTAAAATTAGTGAAAAGGAATCCTAAAAATCTCCAAGTTACTTAGTAGATAAACAAAAGAATACTTGTCTTTGGTGAGAAGGTTTACAAAAGGTAAAGTGAAATGTAGGGAAACGAGGAAGACGTGGTCATGTTTGCCGTTTGAGGGAATGAAAAACGAGAATCTTAATCTGCCTAGTATTTCTTTTCCCTCTAGACTCAGGCACTTTAAGAGTGCATGTGACATTATAGGTGCCGTGATAGTTAATGACTTTACCGGCGTTTGCATTGCTACGGCCACCCTAGACAAAAATCACAACATTCACTTTGCACTGCCGTCAATCAAACATGACGTCATTTACACATGTTTGGATCGGCCCCGATAGGCTAGGTGAGTGTGGCTCATAATACTTGTAAACAGTCGACAAGTTTTAGCGCCTTTTGAATCACACAAGTGTGTAAATGACATCAACGTGTTTGACGTGCATGTCGCGATTTTTGTATGGGATGGCAGTGTAGCAATGCAAACAGTGGTAACAAATTGGTCTTGGTTTCTTTTGTTATGCCCTCCAACATGGCGGCCACATCTTATGTTATTTTAGTCTGCTCATGGTAAGGGATACATGCCACCTATATCACTTAAGCTCCTTATCTCTGGGGCCCAATTACATAAATTTATTAAATCATAGAAAAAAGTCTGAGGCAGTTCAGCAGTAATGCATTCGCTTCTAACCTCTGGGGTCTCAGGTTCAATTCTTGGACTTAATATGAAATTAATTAATTAATTAATTAAATAAAAAATTAAATAGGATTTAGCAGTGGCATTTCTACAGAGTGGCTCTTCATCCACTGTAATTACAATTGGAAATTTTAGGAGTTGATTTTTGCGGAGGGAGGAAAACCGGAGAACACAGAAAACCCTTGAAGCACAGGAGAGAACCAACAAACAACTCTACTCACATATTACAATGAGCTCAGCGGGACTCGAATCCGGGTCGCATTGGTGAGAGGCAAGCGCTCTCACCGCTACGCCACCTGTGCTTCCCGTACACATGTAAACAGAGTTTGTTAGGTCTCTCATTTTTCTCAAGGTTATCTGGTTTTCTTGTCTTTCTGTTTATGTCAATTACTACCAAATTTTTATTTTTAATTATATTTTTAATTTTATATTAACAACTTATTCATTAATATATGATGACAATCATGGCAAAAATCTTCATATTAAGTCAACCTCCAATAAAACTATAAGCTATCTGTAGCTGGAAAACTGTCTGCTGACACTGCAGATCATTAATGCAGGACTGCTGTTAGCTTTGAGCTTTTTAATGTATTCTTGTCGTCTAGTAATTATGTTATTGTAAGCATATAAGTGTGTGGGGCACGCCTCGCCGGGACCTTGAGTCTGTTTGCCTACCTCTCGTCACTCTTGTTTGTTTTTATATCTATTGTTCGTTGTTTGTTTTTGTTGTTGTTGTTTTTGTTTTTTTCTTCTCCTTTGTAAGTCAAGCGTGATGAAAGCCTCTAAATAAATAATAAATAAATAAATAGAGTGCACGCACTGAACCCATGCACAATAATTAGTACTAATTAGTACTATTTCATAATTTGATAATAATAATTTATTGAATTTATATAGCGCAAATCTCAATTGGGGTATTTTCATTTGCACTGAATCATACAGAATCCTTCGTTTTCTATTGTTTAGTTATCACTATTTAGTACTAAAAATTAGTATTTGTTTCACGGGTTCAGTGCAAGCACTAAATGAATAAGGATAGATAGCAATGCAAACTATACTGTATGTAAAATACTAAGACTATGTATACTGAGAAATCAATCAATTTGCTAATATTTATTATATATATCCAGGTCATATAATAATGCTTTTAATCATTCCTATCTGTCTGTTTAATTTTAGCATTGCTGCTCACTGGATGTGTATTCGTAGTCAGTGACTATCAGGACTGTATGGACCACAGTATCTTAGACACATGGATCGAGGTATGTACAGTACATCTGCTGCTACTAGTCTTTAGGGTCCTTACAAAAAGCCTGACATTTCAACCAACATTTAGCCAGTAATGATAAAAGGGTAAATTTTACACCGTGAAAAGATGAAAAAACTTACTGACGTTTCGCACACTAGTCCTACGTCACAGTGAAAGAGCTCCGACGAAGGACTAGCATCCGAAACGTCAGTAAGTTTTTTCATCTTTTCATGGTGTAAAATTTACCTTTTTATCATTACTGTTTCATTAGAAACACCGACACAGCTCAAACTAGTTTTTTGCAAGTTATCTCTTCTCAACATTTAGCCACTTTATTTTGTTCGTTCATTTTTTGGGGGATTCTCTGCAATTGCAGTTTCAATCAGCGTTTTAACCATACTTTGTTAGTCCTCTTCAGAAGCTCTGGTGTTGTTGAATATCTTTTCTAGTATTGCATTCCATGGCTCAAGATTCGCGCAAGTGTTAAGTGGAATTTTTTTTGTTATGAGTACAGTACCATCTCTATCTCTATTTAACAGGGCTTCTGACAGGATGCGGGAAAAAAATTGAAATTATGCGGGATTTTTTTCCGGATTATGCGGAGAAAATGGCAAATTATGCGGAATAGGATGCGGGAGACGTCATAATCGAAAAAAATTCTGAATTTTTTTTACAGGATTATACACGTTTTTTTGAATTTTTGCTTCTTTATTTAACTCCAAACTTTGTTTAACTAAAGTTTTACGCAATTATTTACAGTTTTACCTTGATTTTGCTTCTTTATTTGACACTGGCCTTGTTTATCTCAGGTTTTTAATCCACACGTGTAATCGTCGTGTTTTTCGCACTACACGCAATTCTTCTCGATATGTTTCTCTCCAAAACATTGCTTTGAATGTTTTTTTTTTTGAAACCTTAAATTTCTGATCTGTTTTTGAAGCTCAACAAAAAATCTCAACGTTACTTACCACCTCACCTCACCTTGCACAACAATATATCGTTTGCATATTCGTAGTTACTGCGCAGTAATAGGTTATCTATTATGTACGCCTTATTATAGGAAATTAACTCGCTCCACAAAATCAAAAATCCTTATAAATAGCATAATTTAAGTCGTGTTAATTTCTTCTCTTTTTTTCCATATTTAACGGCTTCATAATAAATTCATCCATTTTGAGCTATTTTAGAAGTCGCTAGATCTCAAATGTTTACGAGAGAAATATTTTACGCGCGAAAATCTTGTCTGCAAATACACTTCTAGCCAATCAGAGAGTACGTTTTATTTAAGGCTAGTTACCAGGCTCTTTCACGGTTTTTAACTAAGAACGCCTTGTTCCTTTTCATTACACGATGGCGTATGATTCAATATACAGTTTTAAACGCTGTTTATTGCTTGAAATTTGGTAAGTAAACAATAAAAAATTCGTAATTTCATCAAAATAAGAAAACATTATAATACATTTCTTCTTGATTATTAAGTTTTCTCTAGATTTTTGACGAATTATGCGGGATTTTGCCGGATTATGCGGAAATCGTTCGATTGTGCGGAAAAAGGCGAATTATGCGGGTCCGCACCCGCGCGTCCTGTCAGAAGCCCTGATTTAAACACTTGTTGGCAGAATTTTGGCATGTTGTTGTGCCATGAAACACCGGCTGGCATGACAAATAAGTCCAACGTTTGACCCAACTTTCCTATCGTAGGTCATCAAGTCAAATGGAGGTCAAGTTGAACCATTCTACACTCGGAGATGTACTCATCTGCTTTGCCTGAACAAGTGCGGCAAGCTGTACCATAAGGTAATAGTATGACCTTTTAGCCAAATCCATGGATAGATTGACCTATTTACTTTGGGTCTTATGCTTCCCCATTCCAGACCATGTGTCATTCTCTTGAGAATAAGATTCTTTGTTTGAGTTGTATCCATATTCATGTGTC